AGAGTTTTGTACAGCTGCAACATGACCTCATGGCTCCGAAACTCAATTCCTCTACCAATAAAACCTAACATACTGTACGCCTTCTTAACAACGCTATCAATCTGGGTGGCAACTTTCAGTGATCTATGCACATGGACACCGAGATCTTTCTGCTCATCCACACTACCAAGAATCTTACCATTAGCCCAGTACTCTGTATTCCTGTTACTCCTTCCAAAGTGAATCACCTCACACTTTTCCGCATCAAACTCCATTTGCCACCTCTCAGCCCAGCTCTGCAGCTTATGTGTCCCTCTGTAACCTGCAACACCCTTCCGCACTATCCACAACTCCACCGACTTTGATGTCATCCGCAAATTTACTAACCCATCCTTCTACGCCCTCATCCAGGTCATTTATAAAAATGACAAACAGCAGTGGCCCCAAAACAGATCCTTGAGGTACACCACTCGTAACTGAAATAATACCATTAGGCCATTGCCTTCCCTCCCTGCTTGGGGATCCTGCAGCCCTCTGAACTCAATATCGAGTTCAATAATTTTAGGACCTTAACTCACCCAGTCCTAGACCTCTACACCACACACCAGGCCTTGTTATCACACAGCCTGCCATTACTCACCACCTATTGTTAAAGGGTTCAAAAGAGATTTACAAGAATGTTGCCAGGGTTAGAGGGTTTGAACTATAGGGAGATGCTGAATAGACTGGGACTGTCTTCCCTGGAGAGTCAGAGGCTGAGGGGTGACCTTATGCAGCCTTATAAAATCATGAGGGGCATGGATAGGGTAAACAAACAAGGTCTTTTCCCAGGTAGGGGGAAGTACAAAATTAGAGGGCAAAGGTTTAAGGTGAGACGGGCAACATTTAAAAGGGACCTAAGGGGCAACTTTTTCACGCAGAGGGTGGTGCGTGCAAATAATGAGTTGTCACAGTTAATGGTGGAGGCTAGTACAATTACACAATTATAAGGCATCTGGATGGGTACATGAATAGGAAGGGTAGAGAGGGATATAGGCCAAATGCTGGCAATGGGACTAGATTTATTTAGGATATCTGGTCAGCATGGACGAATTGGACCGAAGGGTATGTTTCCATGCTGTATATCTCTATGACTGTAAATTGTGGGGGAGGGTGTTCTGAGGAAGGGTCACCGGACCCGAAACGTTAACTCTGTTTTCTCCTCCACAGATGCTGCCAGACCTGCTGAGCTTTTCCAGCAACTTTGTTTTTGTACTTTGCTTCAGTATTCACGCAGAAAAAGGAAATAGAGGATAGTGAGATTTGAGTGAAGCATGCTAATATGCTCGAAACAAGTGGTGTTGGATCTCTTGAAGAGCATTAAGGTGGATGAGTCCCCAGTGCCCGCTGGTATCTATCCCAGGGGATTTTGAGAGAGGCAAGAGTGGAGATTGCTGAGGCCTTGACCATGATCTTCGTATACTCGCTAGCCACTGGAGGTCCTGGAGGACTGGCAAGTAGCTAATCGTGTTCCTCTGTTCAAGAAGGGAAATAGGATTATCCAGGAAACTATAGACCAGTGAGTCTCCCATCTCAGTGAGGTTGGGAAGCTATTAAAAAGAATTCTTAGGGATAGGATTAATGTGTATTTGGAGAAGAACAGTCTAATTAGGATCAGTCAGCATGGCTGTGTGCAGCGCAGGTCATGTCATACTAACTTGACTGAATTTTTTGAGCAGGTGACAAAGGTGATCAATGAGTATACAGCAGTGGATGTTATCCACATGGATTTTAGTAAGGCTTTCGATGAGGTCACTCACTGTAGGCTCATCCAAAAGATTAAGATACATGGGGTTCATGGTAACTTGGCCCCTTGGATTCAGAGTTGGCCTGTCATAGAAGGTAGAGGGTTGTGGTGGAAGGGTGCGTTCCTGCCTGGAGGCCCATAATAGGACCTCTGCCGTTTTTGATACATATAAATGACTTGGATGAAAATGTAGATGGGTGGGTTAGTAATTTTGTAGATGATATAAAGATCTGTGGAATTGTGGATAGTGTGGAAGGTTGTCAAAGGATACGATGGGATATGGATCAATTGCACATATGGGCGGAGAAATGGCAGATGGAGTTTAATCCGGGCAAGCGTGAAGTGTTGCACTATTGGAGATCAAATGTTAAGGAAAAGTATACAGTTAACGACAGGACACTGAACTTACACGACACCAAGTTATGGTCCAACAGGTTTATTTTCCATCACCTGACAAAGGTGCTGTGAAACCTTGTGATTTCAAAACCCTGTTGGTCTATGATCTGATGTCGTGTGACTTCTGATTTTGTACACCCAATCCAACACCAAAACTTCCACATCATGGCTAGCATTGATGAACAGAGGAATCTTGGGGTTCAAATCCATAGCTCCCTGAAAGTGGCCATTCAAGTAGATAAAGTGGTGAAGGCGGTGTATGGCATGCTTCCCTTTAGTGGTCGTGGAATTGAGTACAAGAGTCAGGCTGTTATGTTGCACCTTTATAAGACTTTGATTAGGCTGTACTTAAAAGCATTGCCTTCAGGTTTGGTTGATACACTCTCGGAAGGATGTGGAGGCTTTGGAGAGGGCGCAGAAGAGGTTTACCAGGATGCTGCCTGGATTAGAGAATATGAGTTATAAGGAGAGGCGAGGAAAACTAAGGTTCTTTTCTCTGGAGTAGCAGAAGCCGAAGGAAGACTTGATAGAAGTTTATAAAATTATGAGATGCATAGATAGGACTGATGGTCAGAATCTTTTTCCCAGAGTTGAAATGTCTAAAACTAGGGGTCATGCATTTAAGGTCATGGGGGAAAGTTCAAAGGAGATGTGAGGGACAAGTTTTTTTTAACACAGAGAGTGGGACGAGTCTGGAACACGCTGCCAGGGGTGGTGGTGGAGACAGATACAATAGGGACATATAAGGGATTTTAGGTAAGCACATGAATATGCAAGGAATGGAGTGATATGGACCAAGGGTAAGCAGGAGGATTAGTTGAATTTGGCACCATGTTCAACACCATATTGTGGGCCGAAGAGCCCATTCCCAAGTTGTACTGTTTTATGTTCTAACATCATCTATCGCTATCTCTCTGTAAACTGTTAAATATCTCTTTCTGTGTTGTCTGCAAGTGTGGCGACAATACATATACTTCACCCCCTTCCAAGTCACTAATGTATACTGTAAATGTTGCAGTCCCAGCTCTGATCCCTGTGGAACCCTACTGGTTACAGGCGCTATCCCGAAATAGAAAAGACAGGTTCAACGTTGGAAGGATTTTCCTGATGACTGGGGAGTCCAGAACTAGGGATCACAGTCTAAGGATATGGGGTAGATCACTTAGGGCTGAGATGAGGAGAAATTTCTTCACCCAGACAGTGGTCAGTCAATGGAATTTTATGACTCAGACAGTGGTTGAGAGCTGAACGTTTTCAAAAAGGAGCTAGAATTATATCTTCGGGCTAAAGGGATCAAAAACATGGGATAAAATTGGGAACAGGCTTCTGAGTTGGATGATCAGCTGTGATCATATTGAAGATCTGTTTCCTCAGGTGGGGGACTCCAAAATTAAAGGGCATAGATTTAAGGTGAGAGGGGAAAGATTTAGAAAGTACCTGAGGGGTAGCTTTTTCACGCAGAGGGTAATGCCTGTATGGAATGAACTGCCAGAGAAAGTGGTGGAGGCTGGTACAATTATAACATTTAAAAGGCATCTGGATGGGTACATGAATAGCAAGGGTTTAGAAGGATATGGGTCAAACGCTGGCAAATGGGAGAAGGTCAGATTGGGATGCCTGGTTGGCACAGTCAGGTTGAACTGAAGGATCTGTTTCTGTGCTTTATGACTCGGCGAATGGCGGAGCAGGCCTGAAGAGCCAAATGGACTACTGCTCCTGTTTTCCTATGTTTCTTCTCTGTTCCTAAATCCCCTCCATGCCCAGTCCTCCTCCCAAAGTGAATAACCTCGCTCTTATCCACATTATATTTCACTCGCCATGTCCGTGTCCAGCAATTTAGCCTGTCCCAAGTCTGTTAAGGTCTCTCTGTATCATCCACGCATTCCCACCTAGTTTTGTCCCAATTGCAAACTTGGAAATATTATATTCGGATCCTATCAGTGTTAGCGTGCATTCACTATTGCGATTTGTAAAGTTGTAAAGTCTCTAAGTGTGCATACTTACCAGAATTTGCTGTAACGTGGTAGTCTATAACAATGCATGCAATAACCATTTATGGTTGGATGATTTAGAGCATCCGCAGTTCTTTCGGTTTTGATCTTGCAATAACCAGAATTGCCTGTAATATTATACAGTGCACTCACCAGTACTGTCTGTTGCCTTGAATGGGGGACAGTCTGTTCCACTGCTATACTGCTGTCCCAGATATTCCTGCAAAACCAAAAAACCTCCTGCTTACTTCTGTAATAGCTCCCTATCTCAGTACATGAGAAATTTAGCTGTTGTGTAAACGATCAGCACATTCCTAGTCTAAGACATAATTGAGATACATCATAGTAGTTGCCACACTCCTACTTCAATGCTCAGGTAGGAGTTGTTTGCAGCCCAATGGAGATATCAGAGACTGAAGCTCAACAAAATGGTCACCCCTGTCTACCAAACTAGGCTATTATTACCGAGAAGGGAGTGAAAAAAGCTAATTCATAGAATTCAAGAGCCCAGAAGTATTACAGTGTAGAAAGAGACCACTGAGAGCACTGGCTTTCTATGTGAACATTTCAGTTAATGTAATTTTCCAGACTTCTCCCCATAACCTTGCACACTGTTCCTTTTCAAATAACAGTTTTATTTATGAATGCATTGATTTAATGAGCCTTGACTATACTCTCAGGCATTCCAGACTCTGATCACGCCCAAGGGATCTGACCCAAAACTTCAAATTTCCTGATCCTCTGATGCTGCCTGGCCTGCTGTGTTCTTCCAGCTCCACATTGTGCTCTCTCTACATGAACATGTTTTTTTAATAACGATTTTGTTTCTTTTGCCAATGAAATTCAATTCTCCCAGCCCTCCTCTCCATGCTTTTAGTGAGCTTTAGCTAGTTTCAGTTGACTAGCCTGAGTCTAACATTCATAGGTTCAGGTTACACTCTACAGACTTGGACACAAGAGGAGACCACTCTGTCCATTATGTCTGTGCCAGTCAAAAACCAAGTAACCCAGTATTAATTAAATTTTGCATCGTTTGGTCCAATCCTGCAGGTTACAGGACGTCACATGTATACGCAAGATAACACCTTTCAAACGAGACTAAACTGTGGATACTGGTGATCTGAAACAAAAGTACAAATTGCTGGAGAAATTCAGGTTCTGAAGAATGGTCACTGGGCCTGAAACATGAGCTCTGCTTTCTCTCCACAGAGACTGCTAGACCTGCTGAGTTTCTCCAGCTATTTTTGTTTTTGTTCCCGTTTTAAATGAGTGGCGGGTTTCTACCTCAATGGCCCTTTCAGGTCCTGAGTTCAAGACCCCAACCACCAAAGTCTTGTCAAGGCTCACCAGTTAACAGGAATAGTAATGAATACAGCATTTCCTAACAGCATCGTGGGTGTCACTATACCATTAGAATTGCACCAGTTCAAGAAGGCTATCTTACCACCACCTTCTCCAGGGCAATTAGAGACGGATAATAATGCTTGCCCAGCCAGTGGTGCCCACATCCCATGAATTAAAATAAAAATAAACTCTATATCAGTTAGAAGCCAAACATACGATTACTGTGAGGAGGTGGAGTTATTATTTATAACTTGACTGTAAGTTGGACTTATACACAAAGATTTATCAAAGTCAAGACTTGTCTGTTGTCTGACTTCTGACCTTGTTCACACCAGTCCAACACTAGCACCTCCATATCATGGCAACTGTAAGTGATAGCCAATAGTGGACTTTGGACCACTGGAAAATGAGGTGAGAGAAGGAGAAATAGGGAACAAATAAATGACAATTATGGGTTTCAAATGAGAAAACCTTTCTTGACCACACACTGAATTTTCAAAACTTATTTGTCTTTGGGATGTGTGCTTCACTGCCTAGGCCAGCATTTCCTGCCCAATCCTAACTGCACTGGAAAAGATGGTGGCAAGATGCCTTCTTAAACTGCTGCAGTCAGCCAACATTATAGCCCTGGTTCGAACATGGACAAAAATGCTTAATTCCGGAGGTAAGGTGAGAGTGACTGCTTTTGACATCAAAGCTGCATTTAACCAACAGTGGAATCAAGGAGCCCTGCCAAGACTGGAGTCAATGGGAGTCAGATGGAAACCTCTGTAGGAGATATGATCAAGAAGTTGTAGATGAAACAAAATTGGTAGGGTTGTAAACAGTGAGGAGGACAAGCGTAAATTGAACAGGATACCAATGCATTCGTCAGCTTGGCACAGCAGTGGCAACTGGAATTCAACCTGAAAAAGCAAGAGGTAACGCACTTGGGAAAAGTTAACCAGGCAGGGATTGAATCATTAACGGTAGGACCCTGCAAAGCACTGAAGATCAGGGGAACCTTGGAATCCACAGATCCCTGAAGGCAGTAGCACATAAGGTGGTTTAGAAGGCACATAGAAAACAATTGCTTTTATTAGCTATGGCATGGTATACAAAAGCAAGGAGGTTATGTTTGAACTGTATAAAATGTTGGTTAGGTCACACTGAGTGCTGCGTGCAGTTCTGGTTGCAACATTATGGAAAAGATGTGGTTGCACGAGAAAGGGTGCAGATGAGATTCACCAGCATGTTACCTGGACTTGAGCGATTCTGCTACTGGAGAGACAGGAGATAGGCTGGGATTGTTTTCCTTGTAGAGTGAAGGTTGAGAGGCAACCTAATAGAGGTGTCTAAGCCTAAGAGGGGCCAAAATATGGTGGACAGGAAGGCACTTTTTCCATTAATCGAAAGGTGTCATAACCAGAGGCCATAAATTTTACGAGCTGCCAGAGGAAGTGGTAAAGGCAAGTACAATTAGAACATTTAAAAAGACATTTGGACAGGTACACACATAGGAAAGATTCAGAGGGACGTGGGCCAAATGCAGGCAAATGGGGCAAGTTCAGTTCAGGAAACCTGGTCAGCATGAAGAAGTTAAGCCAAAGGGACTGTTCTGTGCTGTATGACTCTATTTAAGTTGAGATGCTGAATGCAAAGAAGAGTCAAGGAGAATTTTCTTTACTTAGACAGTGTAGGGAGTCTGGAACTTTCTGCATTAAAGATTGGTTGAGTCAAAAACTCTTGTAACATTGAAGCAATATTTAGACATTCAACGAACAAAGAAAATTACAGCACAGGAACAGGCACTTCAGCCCTCCAAGCCGATCCAGATCCTCTATCTAAACCTGTCACCTATTTTCCAAGGATCTGTATCCCTCTGCTCCCTGTCCATTCATGTATCTGTCTAGATACATCTTAAATGATGCTATCGTGCCCGCCTCTACCACCTCCGCTGGCAACGCATTCAAGGCACCCACCACCCTCTGCGTAAAGAACTTTCCACGCATATCTCCCTTAAACTTTTCCTCTCTCACCTTGAAATCGTGACCCCTACTAATTGAGTCCCCCACTCTGGGGAAAAAGCTTCTTGCTATCCACCCTGTCTATACCTCTCATGATTTTGTAGACTCAATCAGGTCCCCCCTTAACCTCCATCTTTCTAATGTAAATAATCCTAATTTACTCGACCTCTCTTCATAGCTAGCGCCCTCCATACCAGGCAACATCCTGGTGAACCTCCTCTGCACCCTCTCCAAAGCATCCACATCCTTTTGGTAATGTGGCGATCAGAACTGTACGCAGTATTCCAAATATGGTCGAACCAAAGTCCTATACAACTGTAACATTCACTTGCATTGTCACAGCCTCCAGGGCTATGGGCCAGAAAATGGATAATGGATTAACGTAGTCAAATTTTTATGGACATGTTTGACCAAGAGATTGCTTTTAGTGCTGTAAACATCTATGAGTGTCTGCTGGCTGTATCTATACCTAGCTGTAGTTGTTGGACATCCTTGTTATCCACAGCACATACTACTTCTTCAGAGAAGTCAAATAAATGGGTTAAACATGATTCCCCCTCAACAAAACCAAACTGAAACTTCCTGGTCACCTGGAGTTCTGTGAAGTGCACAGCTTTAACCCCTTTAACGATCAATTCTCTCATCTTCCACACAACAGATTTCAAGAAAACAAACTGTCTGTTGTTTCCTGTATGCTGCCTCCCTTACTTCTTGAATAAACGGGTTATAGTTGCTACTCTGCAGTCTACAGAACCTTTCGAGAACGAGGGAATTTTGGAAAATTAACACCAACACATTTACGATCTCAGTAGCAACTATCCTAAAGTCTAAGAAGAAAAGTCCTGCTGGCTCCAGAGATTTGGCAGCGTGCAGCTCCATCAGGTTATTTCTCTGGTGATTGTAATATCATTAGGTTCCTCTCTTCCTCTGAATTTCAGATTTTACAGCTATCATTGGAATGTCTTTTGGATCCATTGTAGCCAGAAAAGAGCAAAATATTTGTTCATTTCCGATCCAATTCCTTATTATCTTTTGCTGACTCCATATTCTCACTTTCCAAAGGACAAACATTCACTTCTTTTTGTGTTTATATACCTGTACAAATTCTTGCTGTTTTTACATTGCTACAGAGTGTCTTCTCTGATTCTAATTTCTTCTTCCTGATGAATGTTTTAGTTGTTCTCTGCCTTATATTCTGAGCAATCATTTGACCTGCCACTTAGCACTTATCGAAAAAAATTATATGCTTTTTCCTACAATTTGATCCTTTCCCACTTTCTGTAGTAAATCACAGATAGTGGGACCATGCACCCTTTACAATTTTTCTCTACCACAGAAATATACTTATCCTAAGTATTCTGAAACATTTCATTAAATGTCTGCCACTGCGTCTCCATTGCTCGAATCCCAGCCTATTATCTCAGTTCACTTCATGCTAGCGAAGCTTTCATGCCCACACAATTGCCTTTATTTACATTTTAAATACTAGTCTTTGACCTATTTCATCCTTTCAAACTGGATTTAAACTTCAATCATACTGTGGTTGCTGCTACCTCGGAGTACCTTGACTCCGAGGTTAACAATTAATTGTGTCACATTGTACAACACCTAGTCCAGGATAACCTGCTCTCTGATCGTCACTGAATGTGTTGTTATAAGAAACGCTTGAAAGCATTCTCTAAACTCCTCAGCCAGGCAATTAATGCCAGTCTGATTTTTCCAGTTTACTTGGGAGATTAAAGTCATACCATTTGCTGACTCTTTATCATAAGCACCAAGCATTTATTCTTGTACACTTGGTCCTACGCGTGATTACTCCAAGGGGGGTTTTGTAGAATGCACACACCACAGTTCTTTGCCATCCCATGTCTCTTCCATACCCAAACCAACTTGACATCCTGACCTCCTGAATCAAAGTTATCTCTAACTATTGCACAAGTGCCATTCTTTTTTTCCAACTAAAAGTTCCAACTTTTAAAGAAAAACCCCAAGGCCTCCCAAATTGTTTATCATCTTGTAGACTGCTGTCCTGCACCTGTCCCCAATCTCTCTCAAAAAGAAACCAGGACAAAGCACGCCTCTTAAAGTCATAGAATCGTCACACACTGCTCTTCTGAATGCTGGTGATGGAGGGAGTGGATGCTTGTGAATGTGGTGCCAATCAAGCACACTGCTTTGTCCTCGATGGTGTCCAGCTTCTTGAGTGTTTTGGAGCTGCACTATCAAGGCCAGTGGCAGCTATTCCATCACACCCGAGACTTGTGCCTTGTAGATGGTGGACAGGCTTTGGGGAGTCAGAATGTGAGTTTCGTCCTGCACTATTCCTAGCCCCTGACCTGCTCTTGCAGCCACAGTATTTATACGGCAAGTTCAGTTGAGTTTCTGGTCAATGGTAACCACAAGAATGTTGATGGTGGGAGATTCCGTGATGGTAACACCATTGAATGTCAAGTGACTCGTTAGGTCGTTTTCTGTTGGAGATATTCATTGCCTGGCATTTGTGTGGAGCGAACGTTACTTGCCACTTGTCAGCCCAAGCTTATATATTGCCCATTTCTTGTTTCATTTGAACATAGTCTGTTTCAGTATCTGAGAAGTCACGAATGGTGCCGGACACTGTGTAATCATTGGTGAACATCCCTACTTCTGATCATATGATGGAGGGGAGGTCATTAATAAAGCAGCTGAAAATGGTTGGGCCCAGGACAAGCAGTCCATGTACAAATGCAACAAGATCTGGAAAATATCCAGTCTTGGGCTGACAGTGGCAAATAACATTCACGCCACACAAATGCCAGACAATGACCATTCTACTAAGAGATAATCTAATTACCACCTCTTGACATCACTGAAAACGTAACTATCACCATCCTGGGGAATTACCATTGACCAGAACCTCAACTGGACTCTCCATATAAATACTGGTTACAAAAACAAGTCAGAGGCTAGGAATACTGTGGCAAGTATCTCACCTCTTGACTCCCCAAACCATGTCCATCACCTATAAGGCACAAGTCAAGAGTGTGAAGGAATACTCTCTATTTGCCTGGACGGGTGCAGCTATAATAACATTCAAGAAGCTTAACACCATCAGGACAAAGCAGCCCGATTGACTGGCATCACATCCACAAGCATCCACTCAAGGGCTGAATGTTCTAAGTTTACTCTCCAAAATACCAAATCCTTCCACATATGATTAGTTATACTATTCGTATATTTAGTTTATTTATTTAATTCCCTTTAATTCTCTTTAATTCCCTAGTTATGCCTTTTACAAATATACCAGCCCCAGCACGGTTCAAATGTGAGTAGAAATCCAGAATCCCAGGCTAAGGTTCCGAGTACATGGGTTTGAATCTCACCATGGCAGATGATGAACTCCGAACTCAATTAAAAAAAGTTAGTTTAATGGTCAATATATAACCACTGTCAATTGTTGTAAAAACCTATCGAGTTCATTATTGTTCTGTATTAATTGCCTCTGGGCAATTAGGAATGGGCAATAAATTCTCTCCTCGCCAGTGGTGCCCATATCTTATGAATTAAAGAAGAACACCCAACCTATGAGAGAATTACAGACACTGATGCTCCTGGCCTCCATGTCCTCTTAACTGCCTCACTTGCAGTCACTTGCCTTCCCATCCCTGTCTGAACCCCCTTCAAATTGGTGCGACTGTTTTCTAGAATTAAGAGTCCACGTAACTTTCCCCTTTACTGATGCATCCAACATCTGGAGTTCAACCTCTAGGTCAAATTCTGAGAAGTTGCAATGCTGAACCAAATCAGGATGTTACCTTACAGAACAGGGCTTAGAATCTGAGCACTAAAGATTCATGGCATGTTAAATGGAATCACGCATTAAGTTTAGAGCTTGGAAACTTACCCCAGGATCCTGGTGAAATAGATGCAGATGCCATTATGCTTTCCTGAAAAGACCACCTCTGGTCCAGACATTGCAGTGACTGGAGGCAGAGGGACCCCGCCATACACTCCAGGGCTTCCAGGGGAGAAGAGTGGCGTTGACATGCTAACAGGCTTCAAACCTAAGGAGTGGTGTTGGAGGAGAGAGTTGAGTAGGGAGACAGAAAGGAAAGAGAAAACAAGATGTGGGGACAGAAGGGCAGAAGAAAGGAGGATGACAGAGGAGAGATTACAAAGGGGAAGGGCGAGGGAGACACAGAGAGAGTAAGAGACAGAAAGAGAGGGCAAGAAAGAGGAGAAAGTGAGAAAAAGAAAAGACAGAGAGAGAAGAGAAAAATAAAAACAGAAGGGGAGGAGAGAAAGAATTGGGAGGGAGAAAAGAGAGAGAGAAAGAGAAAGCGGGAGTGGGGTTGCAATCAGGGGAATGGGGAGAGAGAGAAAAAAAAAGTCAGAAACACAAACCCACAATACAGTCAGCCAAAAATTGGGTAACACATGGTAGATGGGGGAGCAGAAAGCAAATGGTACATGGGACACCAGGAAAGCAGGGGACACAACATGCAACCTGCCATCTGGTAGGAACAGTGTAAAATCAGAACCTTTAATGAGCAATACCTGAGGCTGGAATAGCCGACACACTGGGACTGGAGAAGGGGCTACCAAGGGGCATCGACGGCACTGCAGCAAGGAGAGAACAGGTCACCAATGCTAGTTAGTGTCTAAGAAATGAACATTTTCTCTCACAATATACGTCCATAACTCCTGCATCTTGAAATCTGTGAACAGCAGGAAAATAGTTCTCCAGTTTAAGAGAAACTGGGAGTCACTGCATAATTTATCTTTTCATTAGTACAATCAAGTGAGACACTCCATTTCAGTTCCCAAAAAATCTGTCCAATCTCCTTGATACTTTCATTCCCCTTTCTTCTGATTGGCCACTTTCGTAGCAAGAACAGAAAAGCAAAATAATTTCTCATTTAAATTTTAAAAGTCATAAAGCTTTTAAATGTTGATATTTAAATTAGTTTGGTCTCCTCGCTGAAGGAAAACTGCAAATTAGAGGTTGGACAGTAATCGATCAAGAATTGAAAGGTTGTCAGAGGTTGGACAGTAATCGAACAAGAATTGAAAGGTTGTCAAAAATTATTGCAAGGCAATTCTGTTAAAAGCAAAAAGGAAATCCTGTGCCATTGTACAAAGCTTTGGTGAGACCACACTGAAAATATAGTGTCCTGTTTTCTTCATATTTAAGGACAATGATTATTCACTAGATTGGTCCCTGGATTGAGAAGGCTGTTCTGAAATGAGCGATTGAGTATATATAGAAATCTATATTCTTGAGACCTTAAAGGATTCAGCCCATTGGAATTTAGAAGATTCTGAAGGGGCCGGATATGACCATAAGACACAGGAGCAGAATGAGGCTTTCAGGACATCCAAGGCTGCTCTGCCATTCTATTTCAGCTGATGTGCCTGTCACCCCATTCTCCTGCCTTCTTCCTTGTAAGCTTTGATCCTTCTACTACTCAAGAACCTATCTATCTCTGTCTTAAATACATTCAATGACTTGGCCTCCACAGCCTTCTATCGCAAAGAGTTCCATAGAATCATCATTCTCTGGCTGGAGAAATTCCTTCTCATCTCAGATCTGAAACGTTGTCCTTTCACTCTCGCTGTCCCCTCAGGTCCTCATCTCTCCTACTAGTGGAAACATCTTCTCTACATCCAGTCTATACTGGCCTCCCAATATTCTGTAAGTTTCAATGAGATCTCCCTTCATCCTTCTAAAGACCGAGTACAGACCCAGAGTCCTCAAACCCATGTCCTCCAATCATCTCAGCCCAAGGATCTCTCCCACTGTGTTCCTCAGGGAAGTGTTCGGGGCAAACCATCTTCAGCTGCTTCTTCAGTGACGTTCCTTCCATCATAAGGGCAGAAATGAGGACATTCACTGATGACTGCACCATTTGCAACTCTTCAGATACTGAAGCATTCACATCTAAATGCAGCAAAATCCAAATGAGATCCAGGCTTGGGCTGACAACTGGAACATGACATTCATATCACACAAAGTGTCAGGCAAAGACTATCTCCAACATCAGAGAGTCCAAGCATTGTTTCTGGACATTCAATGGTGTTAACATCACTGAATCTCCCAGTGATCAACATCCTGGGGTGACCAATTGACTAGAAAATGAACAAGACTAGTCATATAAATACAGTGGCTACAAGAACAGGTCAAAAGCGAGGAATACTGCAGTAAGTAACTCACCTCCTGACTTCCCATCGACAAGGCACAAGTCAGTAGTTTAACGGAATACTGACCACTTGCCTGTATTCTGTTTTGTTAACCACTCTTGTACGTGGTACTTTTGTCAAAAGATTTCTTGAAACGTCTCTTTGGACGCTCATTGCATTTAACCTCTTACTACCTAAAAAGTATCTTAATCTATCCTTTTCCAGTCCAAAATGGATAACTTCATACTCATTTACATTGAAATTCATCTGCCACAGTTTTGCCCATTCACTTAGCAGAAAATTATAAAGCAATATTGATAGACTATCATCTACACTGTTTACAGTGCTGCCTAACTTTGTGTCATCAGCAAATTCCGACATATGACTTTCCAGGCCATTATTCAAGTCATGAACAAATAATGTCAACAATCTAGACCCTAACACCTTCAGGTTTTTAAAAATCTTTATCTGTAATCATTTTTGGTTTGGGGCTGCGAATTGAGAGATTAAGACAACCTTTGGACTGTGAGCAACAGCTTGTTTTAAAAAAAAAAAGGAGATAAACAAACTGATGTTTGTTTGTGAGGCCAGGCCTGGAAGTTAATTACACATTTATCATATTCAAAGTACTCTACAGACACATCAACTCTGGCGAAGCATAACGATCAGAAGGCAGATGTTTCAATGATGACAAGGGACTCTCAGTCTTTGATAGTCAATGACTTTTTCCCAGGGCGGAAATGACTATTACAAGGGGGCATAATTTTAAGGTAATTGGAGGAAGGTATAGGGGAGATGTCAGAGGGAGGTTCTTTACACAGAGAGTGGTGGGGTGTGGAATGCGCTGCTGGCAGTGGTAGTGGAGTCAGATACATCAGAGACTTTTAAGCGACTCTTGGATAGGCACATGGAGGATAGTAAAATGTGGGGTATGCAGGGTAGATTGATCTTTCAGTTGTTTCAGCGGCGGGAGTCCGGGAGGAAGCGCGAGGGCAGCCTGGGAAGGTGAGCTTTTCGGTTATAAAAGTCTTACCTCGCGTGACTCCAATTTTGGAGTAAGTGAGGTAATATATTTGGGCGGTTGCTTTACCCGAAGCACTACCTAGGTAGTGTCTCCCACCCATCCTCCTCCTCTAACCAAAAAAAAAGGTTCTGAGCGCTGATTTGGTAAGGCTACGAGTACTTTTTTTTAAAATTTGTCTGTTTGGGAATTCAGAACAGTGGGAATGGATGTTAGGGCAGTGGTATGCTCCTCCTGTAGAATGTGGGAGGTAAGGGTCACCACTAGTGTCCCCACTGACTTCATCTGCGGGAAGTGCACCCAACTCCAGCTCCTCGGAAACCGTGTTAGGGAACTGGAGCTGGAGTTGGATGAACTTCGGATCATTCGGGAGGCTGAGGGGGTAATTGAGAGGAGTTACGGGGAGGTAGTCACACCTCAGGTACAGGAAAAAAGTAGATGGGTTACAGTCAGGGGACAGAAGGGGAACAGGCAGACAGTGCAGGGATCCCCTGTGGCCATTCCCCTCAAAAACAAGTATACCGTTTTGGATACTGTTGCGGGGGACGACTTACCAGGGGTAAGCCGTGGGGTACAGGTCTCTGGCACAGAGTCTGTCCCTGTTGCTCAGAAGGGAAGGGGGGAGAGGAGGAGAGCATTAGTCACTGGGGACTCCATAGTTAGGGGGACAGATTGGAGATTCTGTGGGAACGAGAGAGACTCGCGGTTGGTGTGTTGCCTCCCAGGTGCCAGGGTCCGTGATGTCTCGGATCGTGTTTTCGGGATCCTTAAGGGGGAGGGGGAGCAGCCCCAAGTCGTGGTCCACAAAGGCACCAATGACATAGGTAGGAAAAGGGATGGGGACGTAAGGCAGAAATTCAAGGAGCTAGGGTGGAAGCTTAGAGCTAGAACAAAGAGAGTTGTTATCTCTGGTTTGTTACCCGTGCCACGTGCTAGCGAGGCGAGGAATAGGGAGAGAGAGCAGTTGAACACGTGGTTACAGGGATGGTGCAGGAGGGTGAGATTCAGATACCTGGATAATGGGGCTCATTCTGGGGTAGGTGGAACCTCTACAAACGGGATGGTCTACACCTGAACCAGAGGGGTACCAATATCCTGGGGGGGAAATTTGCTAATGCTCTTCCGGAGGGTTTAAACTAATTCAACAGGGCGGTGGGAACCTGAATTGTAGCTCCAGTGTACAGGAGGTTGAGAGTAGTGAGGTCATAAATAAGGTTTCAAGGTCGCAGGAGTGTACCGGCAGGCAGGAAGGTGGTTTGAAGTGTGTCTACTTCAATGCCAGGAGCATCCGGAATAAGGTGGGTGAACTTGCAGCATGGGTTGGTACCTGGGACTTCGATGTTGTGGCCATTTCGGAGACATGGATACAGCAGGGACAGGAATGGGTGTTGCAGGTTCCGGGGTTTAGATGTTTCAGTAAGATCAGGGAAGGTGGTAAAAGAGGGGGAGGTGTGGCATTGTTAGTCAAGGACAGTATTACGGTGGCAGAAAGGACGTTTGATGACAACTCGTCTACTGAGGTAGTATGGGCTGAGGTTAGAACCAGGAAAGGAGAGGTCACCCTGTTGGGAGTTTTCTATAGGCCTCCGAAAAGTTCCAGAGATGTAGAGGAAAAGATTGCAAAGATGATTCTGGATAGGAGCGAAAGTAACAGGGTAGTTGTTATGGGGGACTTTAACTTTCCAAATATTGACTGGAAACGCTGTAGTTCGAGTACTTCAGATGGGTCAGTTTTTGTCCAATGTGTGCAGGAGGGTTTCCTGACACAGTATGTAGATAGGCCAACAAGAGGCGAGGCCACATTGGATTTGGTACTGGGTAATGAACCAGGCCAGGTGTTAGATTTGGAGGTAGGAGAGCACTTTGGTGATAGTGACCACAATTCGGTTACGTTTACTTTAGCGATGGAAAGGGATCGGTATATAAAGCAGGGCAAGAGTTATAGCTGGGGGAAAGGCAATTATGAGGCGATGAGGCAAGATTTAGGATGCATAGGATGGAGAAGGAAACTGCAGGGGCTGGGCACAATTGAAATGTGGAGCTTGTTCGAGGAGCTTGTTTGAGAAGTATGTACCTGTCAGGCAGGGAGGAAGTGGTCGAGCGAGGGAACCGTGGTTTACTAAAGAAGTTGAATCTCTTGTCAAGAGGAAGAAGGAGGCTTATGTAGAGATGAGGCGTGAAGGCTCAGTTAGGGCGCTTGAGAGTTACAAGTTAGCCAGGAAGGACTTAAAGAGAGAGCTAAGAAGAGCCAGGAGGGGACATGAGAAGTCTTTAGCAGGTAGGATCAAGGAAAACCCTAAAGCTTTCTACAGGTATGTCAGGAATAAAAGAATGACTAGAGTAAGATTGGGGCCGGTCAAGGACAGTAGTGGGAAGTTGTGCGTGGAGTCCGAAGAGATAGGAGAGGTGCTAAATGAAT